CACTCAGCCACCCACAACTACAACACCTACAGCAACCACGACGGATGTCATATTTCCTCCACTTCCTCCGCCACCACCCAAGGAAGAGGTGTTGGTGATACCACAAAATTCTGGTCTACGAGCCGTTGCACCACCGGTCGATTTTGAAGGTGGTTTCGGAAGTTCGTCACATGGCTCGTCACCGGATCTATTCGGTTCTGGCAGTGGTGGTTCTGGCCTGATTCCGAGCGGATCCTCAGGAAGTAAGTTGTTTTTGGTGGTACTTTGTCCACGAGCTCAATGAGAGAGTTTCGATCAGGTGGCTATCAAATTCATGTTGTTGAGAAGGAAGTTGTTCTGACTTTGATGTTGACTGTTTCCTCGATGATTAAGAAAGTGATCGTTCAGATGTTGATGAATCGATGTTCACTGGTGAATCTGCGCTCACGCCGAATCGCAACGGACCGACCGGCGATGGATTCGGTCCACCGTTGTTCCCGGGTGCTGCTGTACCGCCACCAGTTCCGGCTATAGGTCTTGGTGGAGATGCGGCCGGATTATCACCGTACAGACTCGACCCTGATCATCTGAAGAATCCACCGACAACGGTACGAATTTGCGCAAGCGCAGTTGTTTAAAACAGTTGCTTGTAAGCACAAACCTCCGCATGAACAGCTGCTATTTTTACAATTTTTTGACAATTTACTTCAGCACAGTGATATTTGAAATTTTACAACAGATTATGGAGTTCATTGTTTTCGATTTTCTTTCGATGTAAGTGACGGTTTCGATTTTCAGGTGAAGCCATCAGCGTTACTGAGTATGTTGAGCAAAGCTGACATAGGTTTCAATCAAGCGATTAATCATTTTGAGCAAGGAACGCCACTCGAATCAGCTGCTATCGATATCCTCGAGGTGAACTTCACTCACGATCACCTCGACCGTTTATTTTCACTTTGAAATTTTGATTTCGACTTTTGAATTGTCTGACAATGAATATAATTGAACATTAGTCACAGCGCGTTGGATTATTTGCACTGAATATTCAGAAGATTAGTGCAGTTTCTATCCGTGCGTTTTACTTTTCATAAAAATAAACCTTAATGAAAGCAATTATGGAAGTAATTCATAGTGCGTAATAAAAAAGAATCGCTCGCTCTAAAAGGTTTTCTCGTGTTCGACTCTATAGGTGAATAAGACTGAGGGTAAACTGACTGATGTGATGAATTGAATATCTATTGAACGGCCGGCAGTATGCAGTTATTCAATGTCGTATTTGTGCACGGCAAAAAAATAAAACGATGCTTGGAAATTAGCATTTGTAGGAGTGTGAAATGTGCTGTTTTAAGGTAGCGCTAGGTAGTGAAAAATTGGACAGTCAAGCGAAGTTGCTGGGACACGTAGATCGTGCGATTGGTATTGATAACTTGCAACGATTACAACGATGGGCCAATACAGGCGGTGCTTTAGACGCAATCAAAGAACAGGTAAATTCAACAAATGAATCGAACATTCAATCCATTCACTCAGCTGATCTAACAAGTCAGATGGAACTAAAAAATCTGCAATGTTTTTCAATTATTTACCTAAAATTGCTTGCAAAACAATAAATTATCATTATATACACTTATTTTGGTTTTTTTTTCCCCAATTGCATTATTCCATCACACATAGATGAGTAATTATCATTTATTAATGTTAATTTGAAATTTCAGTTCGTTAAGATTGCGA